TGAGAATGGAGTGGTAGAAAGGAACTCTTTACTCCTTTTAGTACAGTTTTAATTATACCATGTCCATACTTTTTACATTTACCATTTTAACAGCATTGTTAATTTTAACAAGTATCCTGTTGTCATTGTGACTAGTAGTAGTCTGTAGCATATAACTATTCTGCCTAGCTCTGCTGCTGTCCATCTCCCCCTTCCCAAATAACCTGGCAGGAATAATAGGTGTTTATGGCCTAATTTTTTTTATTGTTGACACTATTACATATGTCCCCATTTCCCCTTCGCCCTGACTTTGCCCACCTCCACCCAACCCCAATCCCCCCTTCCTCTGGCCATCACTATACTGTTATCTGTGTTTATGGATTATGTCTATACTAGAGGCCTGGTGCATGAAATTCGTGCACGGGTGCAGTCCCTAGGCCTGGCTGGCGATCGAAGCACGAGGGTCTGGCATGGAAGGGCAGGTCCCAGCTGACCTCTGGGCCCTGGGCAGCACCTGAGCCCCCGGGCCCTTGTGCACCCGTCTGCCTGAGTCACAGTGCCCGAGTCCTCATGTGGAGATGTGGTGAGCGTGGTTGGGCACCGTGGGCCGGGGTGCAGCGTGGGCCTCTGGGTCACCCAGCGGCACCACATGGAAGCTGGGTGGGCTGTGTGCTCTCTCCTGACCTGCCTCACAGACAGGCTCCTGCGTGAACCCACAGGGAAACTGACCAGTGGCCCTGCTCACCCAAAAGAGGCTGCAAGAGTGCGGGGTGGGGCTCCTCACAGGCACCTGGTACCTGAGGGTGGGGCTTCCCCAGTGCATGAGCCCTGGCATCCTGGGGGAGGGTAGAAGGGGGAGTGAGAGTGAGCTCGGTGGACACCCCACATTCTCACTGCACCTCCGTCCCCATCACAGCCAGCAAGAGGTCGCAGCTCCCCTGCCTGGGCATCCGGTTGCTGACGCCCACCATGTCCCACGACACCCCCTGGTGGTCAGCGCACATCATAGTGAACAATCAAAATCCTGATCTCCCAGTGGAACTCAATGTCAAATGACCGCCCAAGGGGACAATTTGCATATTAGGCTTTTATTATATAGGATGTTCTTTGGTTAGTCCCCCCCCCCACTTCCAAATTCCCTTTGACAGCTGTCAGTCTGTTTCCTGTGTCCATGCCTCTGTTTCTATTTTGTTCGTCAGTTTGGTTTGTTCATTAGATTCTGTGTATAAGTGAGATCATATGGTATTTGTCTTTCTCTGACTAGTTTATTTCAATTAGCATAATACTCTCTAGGTCAGTGATGGCAAACCTTTTGAGCTCAGTGTGTCAGCATTTTGAAAAACCTTAACTTAACTCTGGTGCCGTGTCACATATAGAAATTTTTTGATATTTGCAACCATAGTAAAACAAAGATTTATATTTTTGATATTTATTTTATATATTTAAATGCCATTTAACAAAGAAAAATCAACCAAAAAAATGAGTTTGCGTGTCACCTCTGACACACGTGTCATAGGTTCGCCATCACTGCTCTAGGTCCATCCATGCTGTCACAAAGGGTAAGAGTTCCTTCTTTTTATGGCTGTGTAGTATTCCCATTATGTAAATGTACCACAGCTTTTTTTTATCCACTCATCTACTGATGGGCACTTGGGCTGTTTCTAGATCTTAGCTATAGTAAATAACGCTGCTATGAACATAAGGGTTCATATATTATTTCTGATTGGTGTTTGGGAATTCTTAGTATATATTCCCAGAAGTGGGATTGCTGGATCAAAATGCAGTTCCATTTTTAAATTTGAGAAAACTCCATATTGTTTTCCACAGTGGCTGCACCAGTCTGCATTTCCACCAACAGTGCACAAGGGCTCCCTTTTCTCCACATCCTCACCAGAACTGTTCGTTGATTTATTGGTGGTAACTTTTCTGACAGGTGTGAGGTGATATCTCATTGTGGCTTTAATTTTCAACTCTCTGATTATTAGTCACTTTGAGCATTTTTGCATGTCTATTGGCCATTTGTATGTCCTCTTTGGAGAAGTGTCTATTTAGGTCCTTTGCCCATTTTTATTGGATTGTTTGTCTTCCTGGTGTTGAGCTGTATCAGTTCTTTATATTTTGGAGATTAACCCCTTATCAGATGTATCATTGGGGAACATGTTCTGCCATACAATGGGTTCCTTTTTATTTTGTTGATGTTTTCTTTTGCTGTGCAGAAGCTTTTTAGTTTGATATAGTTCCATTTGCTTATTTTTTTCCTTTATTTCCCTTGCTCTGTACATATTGGCAAAAATAATGCTACAAGAGGTGTTTGAGATTTTACTGCCTATGTTTTCTTCTAGTATTTTTGTGGTTTTGAGACTTACATTTAAGTCTTCTAGTTTAATTTTTTTTGCATGTACCTGTTCAATTTTCCCAACACCATTTATTGAAGAGAGTTTCTTTTCCCCATCGTATGTTCTTGCCTCCTTTGTCAAATATTACTTGACCATATAGGGGTGGGTTGATTTCTGGGCTCTTTGTTCTGTTCCATTGATCTATATACCAGTTTTTATGCCAGTACCAGGCTGTTTTGATTACAATGGCTTTGTAGTACAGTTTGATATCAGGTATTGTGATATCACCAACTTTGTTCTTTCTCAAGATTGCTGAGGCAATTTGGGTCCTTTTTTGGTTTCACATACATTTTTGGAATATTTGTTCCAGATCTGTAGAATATGCAATTGGTATTTTAATAGGAATTGCATTGAATATATAGATTGTTTTGTGTAGTATGGGCATTTTCATGATATTAATTCTTTCAATCCATGAGCACAGTATATGTTTCCACTTATGTGTATCTTCCTCAATGAGGCAAGAATAATCTTCCCTTAATTTACAAACCAGGTATCTCCATGTCTTTAACACTCAAAAAAAAATTCACCTTGCTCATGAAAAATCATCCAAATAACTTCCCCTCACGCATAAACAGAATCATACCAAGAATACAGTCTGCCCATACTTCTACTTCTGAATCTTTCAGCAGTCCTAGCGGAGTGCTTTGCATACTGAGGCTACCCCACAGCATGGCAGGGACCCACTACTTTTCCTGCACTCAGTTATATTCTGCGACCCTGTTCACGGTGAGACCGTGTTTCCTAAGTGCACACTTTCTCTTGCATGCCTTGATCCATGGCCTTTCAGAAAGTTCCCAGTTAGACAGGCTTGATTTGGAGGTCAATTTTTCATTGGCATGAATTCATTATAATAGCTTTGTGCTGTCAAGGCCTTTCTTTACATTTAGACTTGCTTCCTCCTTCTAACATTTTCTAGGAAATATGGACCTGTAGAGAATGGTGGTTTCCATGGTAAATGTTCCCTCATATTTGTTTTCTCAAGTTCACTTCTGATATACACAGCATGATTTCCTTTTTCAGTACCAGCACCACAATAGATTTAGGTTGTGGCGCCACTGCAAAGCTCTTTAAAAAAGAAATCTCACCCACTCTGGTTAGAAAAGGGGTGATTTATTATTCTAACTGCAGGGAGCCAACTTCATATCCACCCTGAAAACTGTAGGAAAAGGGTTGACTTTAAAAAATATAGTCACAAGACCTACACACCTTGGATGTAAATGCTTAAAACAGATGAGCAAAATATTTGATTCTCAGACACAGGTGAGACTCTCCACCATGTGACACGCACAAGTTGAAACAGATACTAGTGTGAGGTGCTTTGTGGTTTACAGGGTTTTCACACACAGTTCATTTTATTTTCATATACCAGTGCCATTAAAGTAATAGGGTATGTCTTATAGCCTTTATTTACATAGGCAAATTAAGACTCAGAGATGTTAAGCGACTTAAATCACACAACTAGCAGCTAAGTGCTAGAGCCAGATGAGTTCTTCCTTTAGTTCCAAATTCCATGTTATTCTGCTACCCCCTACATTGTTTCTTTGTGTTTTCATTTCCCAGGTGTAAAGTGGTAGATTTTCAGTGCCCCAGGATGCTGTACTGAACCCAGTGTTCTTAGGCAATATCAGTTTTTCGCTACTGTGAACACCACATTGACACTTCACGTACCTTCCCTCCTCGTGGCCTAATGAATTAAAGGGAAAGAAAAGTTACCTATTCCCAGAGGGCCGGACAGCGCCATAAAGGTGTACTGGAGCCGGCCAACACACTCTCTTAGGAGACTGAGAAGCCAAGCGTCTCATCTTTCTCTTCTCAGCAGTAGCTGGGGGAGAACGGAGAGCTAGACAATAGCCTCTTGTTTAGTTTTATTAATTTTGAGGGCGGGTGGGACAAAAGAATCGGATCGACTGCGGAAGTCACCAATCGCAAGCGAGTCCTAGGCCAGGATTCACCAACCGGTAGCTGCAAGAGAATGGTGGGTGGGACTTGCACTTCTTCAGCCTCCACCCGGGTCGGTCCTCCCAGCCCGCCCTAGAGGCGGAGTCTCCACGGAGCCCCGCCCCCGCCGCCCCCGCCGGTGGAGCTGCGGGCCACAGGGAGGGGGACGGGGACGGGACGTGGGGTGGTGGGAGGTAGGGGGGTGGCTAGGGGGAGCGTAGGAAGAAAAGAGGGTGCCTCGCAGAGCTGCGACCTGGGTGGGGGCCTGCTGATAATAGGAAACCAGAGGGGCAGGCAAACGAAGGAGCAGAGCGCTCTCCTTCCTGCATTATTTTAAGTAGCCTTTGCGAGAAGCTGCTTTTCAGCATTTTTAGTTCTTTTTCTTCCTTTTGCTGTGGGGCGGGGAGCTGTACTGGCTCTCCCACGCGACTCCGCTCCGCTGTTGCTGTAAATAATTATTGTACTCTTTGCAGAACCCTTTCCTTCCTCCCACTCAGTCCTTGCGTAGACGCTTAGGGACACTGTAACCAAGTTGTGCCACGTTAATGAGTGAAGGACAGCGAGGGCCCAGAGCT